GCCAGGTACGAGCCTGGAATGCCTTACGTTCTCCAACTGCAGGTCTATCTCCAGGGCTTGCCTGTTTAAAGCCCTGGCCCATTTTGCTCACCCAGTGTTTTTCATAGGATCATAGATCTTGAGCTAGGAGGAACCTCAGTATCTAATTCAACTTCCTCATTTTGTAGATGATAAAACCAAAATCTAGGAAGACTAAAGGTCTCCTCCAAGGTCACACAGGTAGTCCGCATTGTCCCCCTTCTGATTCCATCAAGGAGGTGTTCATACTATAAAAGAAGCTATGTGTGTGTTAATACCTTGTTAATACATTAATATCTTTAGTGAGTACATCCTATGGTCACCAACTGGGTGAAGATTTGCTGCTGTCCCCCCTTCCCCTTTTACATGAGGGCTAGATGGTAAGTTAACAAGTGGATATCAGAGATATTCAATCAATAAAACAATTCCCAGATGAAATCCTAGAATGACAGAAATTCATCCCAGTTCTTGTACTTATTTTGATCAAGCATCGATGGCTAACTGTGTGCCCAGCACTTTACAATATACTATGGGCTATATAAAATATCTTATTTGGCCTCTATTCTTGAAAACCTCATAGTATGATTAAAGATTTTTTTCCATATAAATAATGAAAACAGGTTGAGAGTAAAAAATTAAACATTCAGAAGCCTTTGTGGGAAGAGAAGTCCAATAATGTTTTATGGAGGTGAAACTTATGGAAGACCTTGAAGGATAGATAGGATTTGGATAAATAGGGGAAGAAGTGGTATATGTTTAAGGTGTAGAAAGAATAACCTGACCAAAGGTATGAGAGGCCTTTTTAGGAATTACAAGGACCAATGTGTAGAGATGAGATATTATCGAATAATTCAAAATAAAGTTGGATATGTAGAGTGGGACCACGTTACTGAGTATCTTGAAAGTTAGGCAGAGGATTTGGACTTGATGAGAGAAATAAGGAGCCATTTTAAGTGATAAAAGCGATATTTTTTTAAAAGAAAATTTTAATAAGTTTAATAGGAGTGTATATGGGGGCAGCCAGGTGGCGGAGTGGATAGAGCACTGGCCCTGAAGTCAGGAGGACCTGAGTTCAAATTCGGCCTTAGACCAAACACTTGACACTTACTAGCTGTGTGACACTGGGCAAGTCACTTAATCCCAATTGCCTTTAAAAAAAAAATAGGGAAAAAAAAATAAGGACTGTATATGTAGAGCCTATATCAGATTACATGTCATCTTGGGTGGGGGGGAGAGAGAAAAAGAAAATTTAAAACTCAAAAGGTTATGGAAGGGGCAGGTAGGTGGCGCAGTGGATAGAGCACCAGCCCTGGAGTCAGGAAGACCTGAGTTCAGATCTGGCCTCAGGCCTCAGACATATAACACTCACTAGCTGTGTGACCCTGGACAAGTTACTTAACCCCAATTGCCCTCACCAAAAAAAAAATGCATATGGAAGTGAATGTTGAAAACTAAAAATAAATTAATTTAAAAAAAAACAAAAGAAATAAAAGAAAAAGAAAATTTAAATTCTGAATTTAAACATAAAATAAGCCTTTCCATATGCATATTGGAACAGAGAAATTGTACATGAAACTGTGGATCTCTATTATTACATAGAGCTTGAAAAGCAATATTTTAGGAAGGTTCTGTAGAGATATGGAAGTTTAATTAGATATTCAGGAAGTAGCTGAGGATATGAGTTAGGAAGGTGGCTGTCACACTGATATGATTAAGAGTGTTGACTACCATCAAGTGTAAGAGACATTTTAAAGGAGAAAGTGACAGGATTTAGCTCACATTCTATGTATAAAATAGTTGAAAGTTGTTTCTGAATCATCAGCAAATAAAGGTCCATATGCTCATGAGAGACAAAACATAAGAAAGAAGCCAGCAATAAAAACCCAAGTCTTCAGATACCTATATACAAACACACTATATGAGTAACAAGCAAAATGAACTAGAGATCCTCAAACAACGGGGCAAATTTAACCTTCTGAAGGATAACTAAGATTTAGTGAGATAAAACCCATGACTAAAGTGTGGTTCTCTCTGAGTATACCTCATTTAAAAGAAACAGGATGGGGGGGATGGGGGTGGCATTGCTTATATTTTTTTTAATTTTAAAATTTTTTTTAAAAATTTTTTTTTCCATATGCTTTTGAGTTGAAAATTTTTCTCCCCCTCCCCAAGACGGCGCACAATCTGACATAGGCTTTACATTTACATACCCATTAAACATATTTTCACATTAGTGAAGTTGTAGGTAAAAATTAAAACCAATAGGAGGAACCATCAGAAAGATGAAACAAAACTCAACAGAAGGTAAAAATAAGTGATAGCGATTCGACTTCCATAGTTCTTTCTTTGGATGTGGACAGCATTTTCCATCCCAAGGCCTCTGGAGATGTCTTAGATCCTTGTAATGCTGAGAAGGGTTCAGTTTAACATTCTTAGTCATTGCATAACATGGCTGTTATTGTGTACAAAGTTGTCTCGGTTCTGCTCACTTCACTCAGCATCAGACCATATAAGTCTTTCCATATTTTTCTGAAGTCAGCCTGTTCATCATTTCTTATAGCACAATAGTATTCCATTACATTCATATACCACAACTTGGTCAGCCATTCCCCCAATTGATGGGTATCCTCTCAATTTCCAATTCTTTGGGGTGGCATTGCTTATTAAGAAGATTTTGTTATATGATGGAAGCTATGTATGGGTGAGCATGGTAGGGTGTTTGGATTGTCATTGGCATGTACTACAGACTGCCTAGGCAGAAAGAGGAAATAGAAGGAAGTTCAGGAAAGAAATCACTCGATCTGCTGGAGGATTCTATGTCCCAGGATCAGAGCAGCTAATAATTTTCAAAGTTTATTTATTGTGTAGTCAACACTATTTATTCCTTCTAATCTCATATTAGGATTTTTGTTCATTCTTATTTACTTTTTTATTATATAGTTGCAGCTAGTGTGTTCTGTTTTTTTTTCTGGGTTTTTGGACTTTGTTGTTGTTGTTGTTTTGGCTTTGCATTATTTCATAAATATTTTTCCTAACACTTATGAGGTTTTTTTTAGAAAGTTTTTTTTATTTTTATTTTTTTTGGTTGGGCATTGGGGGTTAAGTGACTTGCCCAGGGTCACATAGCTAGTAAGTGTTGTGTCTGAGGTCAGATTTGAACTCAGGTCCTCCTGAATCCAGGGCCTGTGTTTTATCCACTGCACCACCTAGCTGCCCCCATCACTTCTTATTTTGCTTCTGTTTTCAACTGCCAAGGAGAATGACCATTGGTTGAGAAAGGATAGTACAAAATCCCCTCAACAAGTCTAAGTCTCCTGGCCCAGATGGCCAAGGGTCCTGGAAGACTTGGCATGTTATTCCTGACTGGCACTGATAAAAGATCATGGAGAGTGGGATCAAAGAATGGCGTATTTCCCCCTCTCCCTCCCACCCCCAGAGGGAAAAAAAAGGTGGGGAAGAGTAGAGTCTGCACTTGCCAGTAAACCTGACTTCAATTCCTAGTAAAAATTCCTGAATATGTTCCTAAAGGTATAGTAAGTGAGCATCTAGAAAAGAAAGTGGTGACCTCAAAGGTTCCCAGCATAGTTTCATCAAGAAAAGGTCATGACAAACTTACCTTCCTAAACTAGTAAATCAGGAGAATGCTCTAGTATTTAATTACCTGGATTTTAGCAAACATTTAGTAAACTCTTGCATTCTGTTCTTGTGGAAAAGATACCAGGTGGTAATTACGGTTAGGTGGATTTAACACTGGATGACTGAGGCAAGATCCACAAGAGTCTTGACAGGTTAGAACATTTGGCTAAAGCAAATAAGATGATGTTTAATAGAGGTAAATGTAGTCTTATACTTGGTGGAGGAGAGATAACTAGCCTGCAGTTCCTTTGATAACAATCTGGGGGGTTGGGTGAGGGGTTTGCAACTTCAGTGAGCTAATATGTGGGGCAGCCTAGAAAGTTCACACAAACTGGGGCTGCGTGAAGAGTCATAGTGTCCAGAATGGTGGCAGAACTATTAGCAAATGACCAGGACTGTCTGTGACACCCATTATTATGCCTGATAGCTCTTTGTACCCTGAGGTACCACCTACAAGGATGAAGGTTGAACAAAGGAGGTAAATTGTTTGCTAACTACACTGACTTGGCTGCTAATAGTTAGTTCCTCCCACCAGTGTCAGTATGCCCTTGGTATATTTTCCTTCTGTTCTTTTGTATTTAATGTCTTGTCTCTTCTGCTGGGTGGCAAATTTCTCATATCCCACAGGTTCTTCCATGTCACCACCTCCCTGGCACATCTAGGGCTTTGCACATACTGTCCATCTGCATGCCCATTTTCATCATGAGTGTTTGATTTCACTGTACCCTGGCTGTAGACTGGTGCTCCCTACAAGTCTCAACAGTGCTGAACTGCTATTCTCTCAATTTCCCCTCCCCACCCCCCACTTTCCATTGCTGTTTTGTGCATTAGGTCCAGCGGGGGAAACTCGTAACCTAATGGATCAGTGGGGGAAGAGAAAGGGAAGGCCAGAGTAAACAGAGAAGAGCATTACTGGTTAAAGAGAGTGCCGTGATTTGACTGTCATCCTGTCTAATTGAGTGATCTAAAGGGGTGTTAGTGACAGGTGAGGCAGAAGTTTCTGGCCTTGTCATTAGTTGTTTTTTAAACTTAGTCCCACCACTATAGGAACCTAAAGAAAAAAAGAACATACCATCTGAACTAGGAGTAGGAGTGGAAAAGCTCCCTCCAGATAAATGAGATGTTCTTCATTTCGCCTCCCTTTTGGAGTATTAAGGAGAACTGTATTCCCCAGTGGTCTCCTCTAAATGCCCTGTCTGGGGCCCAGATTTTTTCATCAGCTTCAGAGAGCCATTGGTAGTATGCACAAAGAGGTCTGGCAGAACAGCTTTCTGTTTGAGTCAGTGTGGTCCCAAACTGTTTATTTTTTTCTTAAATCTTACATTAGTATTTGCTTTGTCTTGCAGTGGTTTGAGTCCAGCAAATGACAGTGGAGCCAAAAAGAAGAAAAAGAAGCAGAAAAAAAAGAAAGAGAAAAGCAATGAAACATTGGATGCTGCCCAAGACCAGCCTGTGAAGGTAAAAGACCTAATTCTCAAGGGCCCAGAGCTTTTCTCAGATAAGAGTGTTGTAAGGGAAATATTGGTTCTTTCCACCACTTGCTTTAAAAAAAAAAAAGCCATCTCTTTGAGGTTGGAAAAGTACTTCCCTCACACCCACCCGGTGACATAAGTAGTGCAGAGTGAAAGTGAGGCTGTAAGCAGTTAAATGACTTATCTCTGATCACACAGCTAGAAAGTAACCTAGACAGGATTTGAACCCACATGTTCTGATTTTGAGTCTAGTGCTTTATCCATGCTTCTCTTCAAGATATAAAAGTTGTATACCTGTGCTTTTCCAGACCTATCTCTTCAAATTGCCATTAGTACCTGTGAATTCTCTGAAGTAGACCCTATGTGGGAGTCTCTGGTGCTGTAGTATCTGTTAATATTTGGGTGGAAACTGATTTCACTGTTTTAAACACAATAGTGAGTCCCCAAGCCTGAGGCTCCAGGGTCTGCTCACTATCATCAAAAAAACCACTTATTCATTGCATTATTGCTTATCATGCTATCCTAGATGCTACTGAATAGTTACTGCATAATTGTGATCCTTGCATCCCAGAGTTCCAAACCCAAGACTGATGGAAGCATTGCCTGTGACAATAAAGTTTTTGTAAGCAGATAGGTCAGAAGTCACTCATCTAAATGAGTGCTGTGGTTCACTGTCATCATGAGAGGTTGTGCACTTACCCCAGGGATTGTACTGAGATTCAGGATGTTTGTGTGGTGTTCTGTTGGAATCTATATCAAAGCCAGTTTTTGAGCCATCTAAGGAAATCTGACTACCTACTACTACAGTATACCTCATTTTGGACTCCAAACAGTAATTGCCTAGTTTATTTATAAAACTTGACTGCTGAATGATTTTTTTTCACTATTTCCAAAATTAACTTCACTTTCAAAGGATAGTGCTTTGTCATTATTGAAAGTAATCAAAGCCATGTACTTTAGGCCCTGACAACAATTGAAAAGAGGAGTTGTAAAAACTCATTCCTTAATTGAAATTTCCATTATTCTCTTGGTGAGGCAAGTGGGGTGAAGTGACTTGCCCAAAGTCACACAGCTACTTAGTGTTATGTGTCTGAAGCCAGATTTGAACTCAGGTCCTCCTGACTCCAGGGCTGGTGCTCCATCCACTGTGCCACCTACCTGCCCCCAGTGTTCTCTTAATTGCCAAATCTGATGACCTGTTTTCAATCCTCATTCTTCTCAAATTCTCTAGGTGCGTCTTAGCTTCTACCTGTCTGGTCCTTCTCAGGCTCCTTTGCTGAGTCATCATCCATAGCCTACCCCCTAATTGTGGGTACATGCCAGGGCTCCCTCATAGGCCCACTTTTTGCTCTGTACTAGCTCTCTTACTGAGCTCATCGGTTCCTGCTATCTCTATGTAGATGACTCTCAGCCAGGTGGCTCAGTAGATAGAGTGCTGGACTCTTCTTCCTGAGTTCAAATCTTGCCTCAGACACGTAACTAACTGTATGACCTTGGACAAGTTGCTTAACCCTGTTTGCCTCAGTTTCTTCATCTGTAAAATGAACTGGAGAAGGAAATGGCAAACTACTCCAGTATCTCTGCCAAGAAAACCCCAAATAGGGTCACGAAGAGTCAGATACAACTGAAAAATAACTGAACTGAAGATAACTCTCATCTAGCCCTAGCCTCTCTCCTGAGCTCTAATCATGTATCATTGGCTCCCTATTAGACAGTTCAGACTAGATCACAAAGCCACCTCTAACTCCATCCATCTGTCCTGGACTCACTATCTCCCTTTGTTCTGTCAAGGGTGCCACCATCCTTCAGGTACCTAGATTCACAACCTTGGAGTCATAGGATTATAGATTCAGAGCTGGAAAAAACCTTAAAAGCTATCCAGTTCTCCTCTCTCTCCATTTTACAGATGAGGAAACAAAGGCACAAAGAGGTTAAGTGTCTTGTCCATGGTCACACAGATAGTGACAGAAGGAAATTTTTTAACCCAGGTCTTCTGCCTCTGAAGCTAGGACTTTTTTCCCTTGTACCACCTCGCTCTCCACTCCTAATCAGTTGCCATATCTTATTGATTCTACTTCCACAATGTTTCTCACATCTTTCCCCTTCTCCCTACTCAAATGGTCAGCACCTGAAGTTCAAGCCCTCATCACTTCTTGCTTAGATTGTTGCAGTAATCTCCTAATTGGTTTCCCTCCCTCAAATCTATACTGTCTCCAGTATATCCTCCATATGGTTATCATAGTGATGTTCCTAAGCACAGATCTGGCCATGTTCCTCTCTAACTCGATAAACCACAAGGTCTCCCTGTTACCTCTATGACCAAATACAAAGTACTCTGTTTGGCATACAAAGGCCTTCCCAAACTGGCTCCAACCCACCTTTCCTAACTTTTTATGTGTTACTCATCTTCACACGCACTGCAGTCTAGCCAAATTGGCCATGCCATTCTCACTGTGACATTCCGTCTTTTATCTCCTTACTTTTGCCTAGGCTTCACCCCCAGGCCTGGAAATTCCTTCCTTATCCTTTAGAATCCCTAGTTTCCTTCCAGATTCAGCTCCAGCACCATCTTCTGCATGAGGCTCCTCCTGACTTCTCCTCAGCTGCTGGTGTCTTCTCTACCAAAATTATCTTGTACTTATTTTAGATAGATAGAGATATAGATACAGATATATAGATATAGCTTATATAGACTAAGGATGGTTTGGCTTTTGTCTTTGTACCCTTGACCAGACACATAGTGGGCATTTAATAAATGCTTGTTGATTGATTCATTTATTCATCTAGAAATACTGCTTAGGCTAGATAGTCTTAAACACCCATTCCAAGAGCCCATATAAAATGTGATGAAGCCACTTTGTTCATTGTCTCTTTTCTAGAGAGAGCTGCTGCCTTGCTTTCAGTTTCTTTTTGCGAGACCCCTAAGAGGAATGCTGGGATTTAAGCCGAAGCCTTCCTGGGGTCAAAATAGAAGCTTTATACCTCACACTATAAGGTTTGAAATCGAGTACTTTAAAGGGTTTTTTAAATGTAAAGGAACTGACTGCAAATCTTGCAGCCCTTGCCTTACACCAGTGCTTTAGTCCATCATCCCACAACATCTGCCACTGGGAGCTCTTTTGCCAAAAATTTTAAGTCCCTGTACTTCATAGAGTTAACATGACTTAGTAGTATATTGTGTTTTCTCTTCCCCCAACTTTTTCTTGCTTAGGTGAACTCTTTACCAGTGGAGAGAATCCAGGAAATACAGAAAGCCATTGAGCTGTTTTCAGTAGGCCAAGGACCTGCCAAAACAATGGAGGAAGCCAGCAAGCGTAGTTACCAGTTTTGGGACACCCAGCCTGTACCTAAGCTTGGTAGGTGTTTCTTTCCTTTGTCTTTGACACAGAATCTGTCTTCCCTGTACCAGAGAGGGACTTGGAACATTACTTCATGGTCACCTTATTTCCTTATAACCATATGAGTCTGGTGGCCTTGGGTGGCATAGTGGATAGAGCACTGGGCCTGGAGTCAGCAAGACCTGAGTTCAGATTCAACCACAGATACTTACTAGCTGTGGAATCCTGGGCAAGTTGTTTGCTTTAGTTTCCTCAGCTGTTAAATGGGGGTAATAAAAACTTCTACCTCACAGATCAAATGAGATTATAATTGCAAAGTGCTGCCTTAGCCTAATGCCTAGTACTATAAAAATGTTAGCTACTATTATTATAATTAATATTGTTATTAGTATTTTTTAATAAAAAACATCTTTTACTTGTATAATATTGAGGAATAGTTCAAAATAAAGTTGGATAAGTAGAATGGTGCCCAGGTTCTTGAGAACCTCAGTAGCCACATAGTATATTTTCACTGAAGACAGAGTTGCAAAGGACAGCTATATGTTTGTACAGAACAGAATAAATATGTGTGTCTGTATGCAGAGATAGAGTATTAATACTTGATTACCAATGGCAAATTTTAATCCTGGTCTGGCTTTCTTATACCACTTAGCAAAGCACCCAATCAATTCCTTTTTACTTTTAGTGTGTGTTAACTGACTGCAAGGTCATTCTAAAATGAGCTGAACCTAAGTAGGAGTGGTATAACCATACCTACCTGTATTACTGTGTATACTTCTGCTTAACATACTTCAAGAAAGACATCGTGGAGCCAGCAGTGAGTCCAAAGAATATTGGATGGTTGGGAGTACTGCCCTGTGGAAAATATTGAGACTTCAGCCTTAGAAGATCAGAACTGATAGGGGATGCGATAAATAGTCTGGCCCAGGGTGACCCAGATTTGGTTATCAGGTCCTGAAATACAGAAAGGAGGCAACTGACACCCTTAGCTAGGAACATTTAGGACAGATGAAAGGAATTAGTGCTTCACGTCAACTTAAGGAGCTCATCATTCCAAGAGATGGTACTGACCAAAAATATAATTCTCAGGTAAGCTTGCTTCCAACGCAGGTAGGAAAAGTCATATGCTATATTGCAACATCAAATACCAATAATGTATCATTTATATATCTGCTTCTTTTAACAAACACAAACAATTGAGATGTGATCATATGTGCAGCTTCTCCAACCTCCTCTTATTGAACTTTTCTCTGGTTAACTGAATTGGGAAAGCTGTAATCCAGCATGTGAAATCCCACTTGGGGCAGGTAGGTTAAGTTTAACTCTCTGCCCCTCCCTCCATCATTCTATTTTGGGAGGTGCAGATTGAGCTACCTACCTAGCCCTCAGTGTGGATATGTGTAGTCCCTTGGAAAGCCACCTCAGGTCAGTGTTTTTCAACTTGTGTGCCAGAAGAGATCTCCACTGTTCAGGAGGAATTTTGGAGTCAGGAGAAAGAAATTTACCATCCACCTAGTTGCCAGTAAGTAAGCTTTGTCAGTGCACTGACAACACTGAAGAGTGAAGCGACTAAGCCAAAGGAGATTTCCTTTGTTGTGAGTGGGTTGGCTGTGGAGACTGTGTAAAGCTGAAACTGAAGGTGTGTTGCCACAGTCATCACTAGCACTGAGGTAGCTATACAGCCTGCTTTTCAGATCTCCTTGTCCCACACTTCCTTATCCACTTTCTCAGTTAAGGCCTACTAGCTGAGCCCTCCTGCAAGGCTTTAGATGACCAAAGATGCCTTTACTTGGGACAGAATATTGGGAGTGAGAGTGAAGTGAAGTGAGAGAAAATCTCTTCCTAAAGGAGTAAGAGAGATTAGAATAGCATAGCATTATTCTCCATTCACTGAAATGCATGAAGAGGTGTATTGTAATTAATATATGTAACATTACCAATCTGTATTCACTGAGTTTGTTCATTTAGGAATTTTAAAATGGTCCACTTGACTTACCTTGACGTGGGGAGGCACAATAGAGTCTAGGGGAAAGAGTACTGACCAGAAACTGAGTTTTATTCCTACTTCTTTCACCATTGACCTCATAGGTAGCCTTGAACCAATTGTTTTTTTGCTGTGTGCTATGGTTTCTCTATCTGTTAAATAGAGGCAGAGCCATTGACTTTCCTTTTAGAGTTATCATGAAAATCTATATAATTGCAGATAGAGGCCCTGAAATCTTCAGGAAAAGATATGTTGAGATAATTTATTTGTGTTTCTCCTGAATATTTGGACAAGTTTTACAGAAACTATCATAATAAAAAAAGTATTTTTGATAGCCTGTGTGAGCGGAGGACAGGTAGGTGGCCCAGTGGATAGAGCACTGGGCTTTGAATCAGGAGTTCAAATCTGGCCTCAGACACTAGCCATGGAACCCTGGACAAGTCACTTAACCCTGTTTGCCTCAGTTCTTCATCTAAGCTGGAAAAGGAAATGGCAAATCACTCCAGTGGTTTTGCCAAGAAAACCCCAAAAAGCGGTCAGGAAGAGCTGGATCCAGCTGAGAAGACCAAACAACCACAGAAGTGTGAACAGAACATAAAGTTGGATTTTGTAGAAGAGTGGTCAAAATGGCTGCCTGTTGGACCTGTAATTAATCAAGAAGCCTTCAGCACCAATTAAGGGAGACTTTTTAAATGGGCTAACCTGTATAAATACCCCATGTAAGGTTAAGACACTCTGTTGAACTGAGGCATTATCCCAACTCTGCCTCTGTGTGACCCCTAGGCAGGTTCTTTTCCGGTTTATTGCCTCTATTATTAGTATAAAATAAGTGCCTGACTATTTATTAATAATACAGACTGCCTAGTAGTGCATTGAAGTCATATAGCATTTTCCATTCATGGTGTTTTTTATAGGTAACATCTTCTGGCCTTCTAGCCCCTATTACTAGGGAGTTGTGACTAGATGGTATTTATTCCACCAAAGCCAGAATTATTTAGAAGTTTAAAGTATTCCCAGTTACATTAGAAGTCACTTAACCCTGTTTGCCTCAGTTCTTCATCTAAGCTGGAAAAGGAAATTGCAAATCACCCCAGTGGCTTTGCCAAGAAAACCCCAAAAAGGGGTCAGGAAGTTTCCTGGATATCTGTAGTAATTTTCTTTTTTACTGCCAAACAGTCAAACTTTTTTTTTAACTTTTTTCTCAGAGGCCTACCTAAAATTGAATTGATTTTTGTGACTAGGTAGAGGATATCCTATTTCTTTAGCTTTTCTTAAGTCTCCCCTTTTCTCTTTTCAGAAGATAAGAGATGGTTGCTTGTTCTTGCTTCAGATCAAAGTCTTATGATTTGGCCACATGTAGGACTGGAAGGAGAAGAATAGGGTTAAAAAGTTTCCATTTATTTGACTCCTATGTTATTCCTCAGAAAATTTACTTTTCCTCACCTCTCTCCCTCTTTTGTAAAATATTTAATTGATTTTTTTATTCCATTGTCACTTTCCATTAAATTACCTGCTTTCCTTTGTAAACAAGTACAGCCAAGCAAAATTAATTAATACATTGGCCATGGCTTGCAAAATGCAGGCCTGTTCTGTGCCCAGAGAGGCACATTCCACTTTCCAGTCCTCTGAAATCATGATTAGATGCTGCATTGATCCAATTCTGAAGTCGAGTATTCTTTTCCTTTGTATTATTGTGATCATCCCCTTGTTTCTGCTTCCTTGGCCCTACAGCATTTCCTGCAGACTCCTCAAATGTCTTAATTGTCATACTCATCATTTCTTACTGCATAATTATATTCCATTATATTCCTGTGCCCCAGTTTGTTCAGCTGTCCCATAATTGATGGGCTTCTACTTTCTTTCCCATTTTTTTCTATGACAAAAAGTGCTACTATAAATGTTTTTACATATGTAGGACCTTTCCTGCCTTGCCTCAAGGAATTTAGTGATATTTATCACAAGATCAAAGAGTAGACATGGTTTACTAACACTTTTATTCTTATTGCAAATTGTTTCCTGAAGTGGTTGGATCAATTTATCATCATACCAGCAGTGCATCAGTGTGCCTGTCTTCCCCTTAGCCCCTTCAGTATAAACCATCTTCATCTTTTCATCTTTTGTCATCTTTACCAATCTGAGTTTTTTATGAACACAGTTCTGCTTCATTGGTTAGGTACCTCATGTCTTTTCAAGTGTTGTTTCTATTCTTTGGTCTACTATCATAGTTTAATCTTCAGGTTCCTGTATTAAAGGCCAGGGGAGCAAATAAGACTGGGGAGAAGAATGGAGAGAGAGAAAAAGGAAAAGATAGGATTTTTCCTGTGGAATTTTTAAGTGAGTTAAAGATCATCATTAGTACTTCCTGAAATTCTCCCTCCCTCCCTGAGTTTCCTATAGAGGTTAGAGAGCAGCAAGTTCTCTTTAGCTGTCTAATACTGAGACAAAAGGCTACACTGTAAAGAATGAAACAATTACCACAAAAATCAGGTAAAATCCCGTGATTCTGAGCCATTGGTTCTCCAGTGGGCTAGGGTGGTAATAAAATATAATTCACATTTATATAGGGCTTTTTGGTCTGCTAAGCGTTTTCCTCAAAGCAAATTAATTACTTCATTTTGTCATAAAATCTGTGGATATTCAGTTGAATTAATGAAATTGATGTTTATTTCTGCTGAAAACATTTATTATATTATGGTTTTGAACAGAATTTTAATATGTGTTGTATTGGATGATGAATAAAAATTTTCCGATATCTTAAAAAGAAAAACTCTAAGTGATAGTGAGAGCAAGTATTATCCATATTTTACAGATGAGGACATTGAGGTTGGCAGAGGTTTATAGCCTGCCCATGGTCAATGTTTTGGTCTAGTGTAGTGATTCAGGCTCAGAATTGGAATGAAATGAGACATACATAGACCACGTAACACTTTACAAAAGGAAGCTTATTTGACAATCCAAGGAAGGAATGATCAGCAAAAAAATATAGTGTTGATTCAGTTGGACACAGCTGCCCTCAACTCTTCATGGAGGCATG